CATGCAAACACAATATTCTGCAGTTCATTTCTCTTCAGTTTCGATTACCCCACAGAGTAAAGGCACCACAGTTTATTTAGCACCCAACTGTTAAGGAATATCTCTGGGTTTTCTCTAGTTTGGGGCTACTACAAATAAAGCTGCTAACTATTGCTGTAAAATGCTATAAATATTTGTATATCAGGTATTTATATGACTTTCGTTTTCATTTCTCTCAGATAAATGGCCAGGAATACAACGGCTGGGTGGTAGAACCAGTACAGATTGTATCACAACTATTTTCCAGAGTTTCTGAATCATCTTACAAAGCCAGCAGTAACACTGGAGTACTGGGGTTTCTCCTCTTTCCCAGTGATTATTGGCTCTTAGCATCTTTTCCTGTAATTACTTGGTATATGCAAATTCTCTTTGGTGAAATGTCTCTGTATCATTTGACTATTTTCTAATTGGACTGCCTTTATCATTAAGTTTTGAGAGTTCTTATATTCTAGTAAATATTAGACATTTGGCTTGTAAATAATTTTTTTGTTTTTGCTTTGTTTTGTTTCTCTTGTTGTTTTTGAGATATCATTTCTCTGTGTAGCCATGGGAAATTTATTCTATAGATAGGCTGTCCTCAAACTCAAGAGATCTGACTGCATTTGCTTCCCAAATGCTGGGATTAAGGCTTGTGCCACTACCACCTGGCACCTGTAAATCATTTTATTCCAGTACGTAGCTTGCCTTTTTATCCTTTTTTTTTTTTTTTAAAGACAAAAAATATCCCTATATAGTGCTGGCCTTGCCTGGAACAGAATGGCCTTGAACTCAAAGAGATCTACCTATAAGACACACAGGCAAAACACTCAAACACATAGAATAAATAATCTAAAAAAAAGACAAAAGTGGTTCTGATACGGTCCAATTTATTAATTTTTTGGTTTATGATCTATGTTTTTGAAATCAAGCCTAAAAACCTTTTGTTTAGCCCTTGAAGATCAATTTTTCTTTTTTTTCTAGAAATTTTAGTTTTATTTCCTTTTAATTAACATATTTTGTGTATGGGTGTCTTGCCTGCATGTATATCTGTGTACCACATGTGTGCCTGGTGCCTGAGATCCTGGAACTGGAGTTACAGCTGATTGTGACCTGCGATGTGGGTGCTGGGAATCAAACTCAGATCTCTGCAAGAGCAGCCATTTCTAACGGCCCTAGTTTTATATTTTACATTAGATCTGTGATCCACGTTGAGGCAATGTATACCGAGTGAAGTGTGCTAGCACTATTTGTTGGAAAGGCCACACTTCTGTCACTGAATTGCCTTTGCACACTTGTTAAAAATCAGCTGACATCTTATATGCTTTCATTTCGGGCTTCTAAAGCTACACTCCTAGCCCACTGGGTACAGCACTTCCTCCCAGTGTATGCTTTTTCAAAACCGTTACATCTGTTCTATAATTTTTGTCTTCTCATATGAATTTGATAACATCCTTATCTGTATATATGTATGAACTTATTTTATACTGTGGTAAGATGCATATAAGAAAATATTTACCATTTTAACCTTTTTTGATTGCTGTGGGGTTGTCTTACTGTGTTTCCCACAGAGGTCTTGAACTCCTGAACTAAGAAATTCTTATGCCTCAGCCTCCCAAAGAAGTGGGGCTATAGGTTGAGTGTCACTGTGCTTGGTTCCCCTCTAGCCACTTAAAAAAATGTAAAAGCATTTCATTTTACACATATGAGTGTTTTGCTTGCATTGAGGTATGTATATCATGTGCAAAGATTAGAAAAAGGTCTTGGATCCCCTGGAACTGGAGTTACAGATGGTTCTGAGCTACAGGTGGACATCGGGAACTAAAAGCAGGCCCTCTGTAAGAGCAACAGAGCTTTCAATTGGTGAGCCATCTCTCTAGTTTCCATTTAAACCACCTTGAAAGCATGCAATTTAGCAACACTAATTACATTCACAATTGTACATAACAAAAATCTACCATCCCAAACCTTTTCCATCACCCCAAATAAAAATTTCCTAATAATCTGGAGGTAGTAACTTGACATTCTGCCCCCCCTTCATTGTTAATCTCTAATTTATTTCCTGACTCTGAATTTCTAAATATTTCACATAAGTGGGATGAAACAGTATGTGTCCTTTTGTGACTATTCTATTTCACCTACAGTGCTTCCGGGAGGCAATGCCCTCTTCCCACCATGTGTTGTGGCTACACTGAGCACCTGAGGTTAATTGCCCCTACAAACCTCCAGCCAGTTCTCCTGTCTCTGCCACTCACCTTGCACAGAGTGCTGGAATTAAAGATGCAGGTTCTGGGGACCCAACATTTTTACTCACATGCCAATGTCAGGGCATGTATCAGAGTCTTACTCATGTTTCAGCTTCACTCTGAGTTCCTTCATTTCTTTTAAAGACTACATCATGTAACACCATGTTATATACATGTTATATACATGTAACACCATTTTAAAGACTACATCATATTTTTACTATACATATAATACCATATTTATTTATCTGCTTATTGGTGCTTGGATTATTTGCACCTTTGTACTATTAGGAATGATGCAGTTGTGGACACTGGTTTACAAAAACAGTTTATACAAGAGCAGATGCTACAATAATTAGGTACAAAGAAAGTATGGACAAGTTCATATCAATACATTTAAAACAAGTAAATTACTATCTAGAAAAAAAAATAACAAATTGACTCATTTAGAAGAAAAAAAAATAGAAAATATCCAAAAAGGTTAATTCAGCAGATACAAAAAAAAATCTCTACAAATAAAATGCTAGAATCAAATGACTTAGCAAGTGTAGACAAGTCATCTACGTCTAACCTCTTCAAAAGATGAAAAAGAGCTGATGTAGACCCACAGACCTAAATTTAATCCCAGCAGAAGCAGGTAGATCTCTGTGAGTCGAGGAATGTGATATAGTACATTTCAGGCCAGCCAATGGAACACAACATAACAGGAAGAAAAAAAAAAATCCTCCTCAAATTGTAATTAGTTTGGGTCAGCTAAGGCATTTGCTACTAAACCTGCCTTTACTACAAGGCCCAAGTTGATCCCCTGTAATCTCATGGTGGAAGGAGAGAACTGAGTGCTTAAAGTTGTCCTCTGACCTACACCTACACACAACTACACACACCTAGACACACACACACACACACACCCCCTATTGAATTTATACCAGGAATACAATAGGTCTGGCTTGTGCAACAGGGAAACTAGTCCTCATATTGACTGAGGAGGTAAATGCAGGACGTTGGGATTAAGCTGTTAAGAATGAGTATGCACTGCACACAGGAAATTTGTGAATATCCAGATAGAGATATCAAGGCAGCAACAAAGAATACTGGTGTGACATTTCCCTGGTAGCCAGGTTGGAGACAGCACTGAGAAGCGCCAGCAGGGTTTAGTCATGCAGGAACCTCTGTGAAATGAAGCAAGAGGATGACCAAGGCTAAAACTGTAGGCTACTCCAGTGTCTAATGAAGTAAATTCCCCTAACAACTGACCAGAAAATACAGAAAGGAAAGGAGAAATACAAGATAATGATTCAAGTGAGTTGTATATGACAGGGTAGTTTCCAGGTATAGGGAAGAAAGAAGCTACACTGTGGGCTGATGTGTGAACAGCTAAGAATAAATAGAAAAAGGGAGTATGGCCTTTGCTTAGAATTCTGGCAAGGAAAGAGACTGGACATGAGCAAAGGGAGAGGCAACAAAGAAGATGAACAGGTCCAGGGACCATCGAGACAGGAAAAGGAGCAGTGGGAAAAACAACACAGCTCCTGTCTTCAGCCAAAGTAAAATGAAGACATGCCTGCAAGAACTAAGTTCCAAACCCACGCTAGTCAGTCAGTACTGACTTTCTTCTCAAGTTGATGAGGTGAAAATGCAAAAGATCCATCAAGCAGCTACTCTTCCTTGATAGCACATTCACACAAAATGAAGTAGGAAACAGGAAGTATTGAGGCAAGAACTCAGAGAACACTATTATAAAATGTCCAAATGGGCCATGGGTCTTAGATAGGAACACACTAGCTTCACAGCAGGTAATACTAATCCTGTGACTATCCTTGAGGAGACAAACAAAGAATCTACAAACTGGAGTGGTCCCATGATTTGCATAGGAGTCAAGAATCAAACCCATCTGTCCAACCATAAAATCTACATTTTTACACAGAATTGCATACTACCTATTACTGCTGTCTCATCTATCTACTCTAAACTGTAACTTTGGTATCTTTTCTTATGTCATTTTTTGTACTTGTTTTATTTATACTCAATTCCACATTAAAACTTTGTATTTCTAAATACATAGCAAACACTCAAGGAATAAACACATAATTACATGCCAATCAACTTGACTTTTTTTTTTTTTGAGAGTCTTGCTACGGTCTCAGACTCTGGGTGATCATCCTGCATGGATCTCCCAAGTCCTGACATTACAAAAGTAATACTTTGCATAGCTTCTAACTTGCTTTTAAAAGTGCTCTGACCCTTTCTTCACACATGATATGACACTCTGAGAATATTCTCTGTGTGTGCACATGTGTGAAGGTATACATATGTGCACATGCATAAAGAAGCATTGGGTATGTCTTCCTCAGTAACTCTCTAGCTTATTATTTGAGACAGGGTCTCTCAGTGAATCTAGAACTCGAAGACTCAGCTTGAATTGTCTGGCCAGCAAGCCACAGGGATCTTCCTGTCTCCTGCTTCTCAGTCCTGGGGTGACAGGCACACTGCATGCCTGCTTTTATATGAGTTGTGAGGATGCAAATCCAGGTTCCCAAGCTTGGGCAGCAAGCCCTGCATTCACTGAGCATCTTCCCAGCCCCTAGAACAATATCCACGTGCTACTCAGTCTATGCCAAGGACCCTCAAAGGTAAAACATCACTGTACCTTTCTTACCACCAATTCCAAATGAGTGAATTTAGTCTTCACTAAAGAGATTTCAACATCTTCATACGGTGATGTTAAAAAGCAGTTCTTACCTGAATTTTGATGGGCCAGGTGAAATTACTGACATAAACAAAGAAAGTAATGTTTGGATGGTTTCGAAAATCAAATTTTTCATTAGAGAAGCTATCTTTGTACTCCTTAATGTTGGTTTTTGAAACAACAGGCATTTCTTCTCCAGCCTGGGTTCCAGCTAGAAGGAAGCAAAGAATGAAAATAAAGATTCTTTTTTTGGAGGGGGTGGGACATAACAGTAGACAAGAGTCTTCCCTCATTAGTAATGAGGGTAATGGTTTACCGACCACTTACAATGTCAAAGGAATAACCTTATGAGCTCAGTCTCTATTCCATACAACACCCACCTACCCTAATTTATAGATTAGAACAATTGAAGTTCCAAGAAATCATTAAGTAACTTGCCTCAGGTTTGAAGCCCACAGGGAATGGAGCTTGTATTTGAACCTAAGCAAACTGACACATAAATTTGCATCCAAACCCTCCACACTGAAAACAGTACATGTGGACATGCAATTATCACCAGAGTCCTTCCTACAAAAGTCACTGGAGGGGACTAGAGAGATGGCTCAGCAGTTAAGAGCACCAATTAGCTCTTCCAGATTAGAATCCCAGCGTCCACACAGCAGCTCACAACCATCTGTAATTTCAGTTCTAGAGCAACCACACTGTCTTCTGAACTTCATGGGCAGTAGGCACACAAGTGATGTACAGACAAACATGCAGGCAAAACATTGATACATATAAAATAAACAGCCATTGGCCTTCACTCTGCACATTACACTTCAAGTCCTTTGTATTTCTTCTTCACACTGTGAAATGTGACAATGCTTCAGGCCCCTGTACCAGTGACATTTATTTACCTATCACTTCCTAAGCAGGAATGTCCTCCAGTCTTAACAGAGAAGAAGGTGCTCAAATGGCCACTCAGTCCTTTCTGTTACCAGCTGCATTTAGGACCCTACCTAGTATAATTCTGTTTCCAGATGGTCCTACCACATTTTATATACTCCACTGTCCAAAAACATGAGTATGTGCAGACTTGGAAGGAAGGAAGGAAGGAAGGAAGGAAGGAAGGAAGGAAGGCAGTTCTTTATGCCTGAGTTTAACTTCAAGCACTACAAGTACTTCCTTTATTTCATTTGTTCCTTTTAACACTCTACAAACATAGTGATGAATATGACCCAACACATTTGTAGATATCATGTTACAACATAAAAAGATTGGATACACTTGTACATAACAAGGCATTTTTACCATATCATTTCATATAGAAGGAAACTGTAACAGAAAATTTAGGTAACTTGGGACTAGAGAGACAGCTCAGCAGTTAAGAGTACTGGTTGCTCTTTCAGAGGACCTGGGTTTGAGTACCAGTACCAATGTGGTAGCTAGCTCACAACTGTCTGTAACTGCAGTTGGTGGTGGTGGGGCATCCAACGCCCTCTTCTGGCCTTCTCAAGCACTGCACATACAAGGTATACACAGGCAAACGCAAAGATATAATTAAATACATTTTTTAAAGAACATAAAAAACAATTTAAAAAGAAAAAAAAAGATTTGATAACTTGTTAACACCACAGTGTAGGTAAATTCAAACCTAGCTAGGTCTATCTACAGAGCTAACAAGTAATGGAGTGGTTATCTAACTTAACTGCTACACCAGGGCCATCAGAATTTTATTGACTCACCATAAGATAAACAAGAAAGGAAAAGCTGTGCTTTTAGGACTTAGTTTAAGTCCCAAAGTATGATTATATCTACATATTAAAAACCCTTATCATTTAAAGAGCTTTCATTTCTTAAAATTGTGGGTTACTTTAATTTTTCACTTGTGAAGCACAGACATAAGATATGATCACAGTGCAAGAAGGTGACAGAGAAAGGGCATAAGAGTTGGTAGCAAAGCAGGGTGACACCTAACAAACCCAACCCTACAATGCTGGAGGCAAGGACAGTGGCCACTCATTCTGAGCAATCCTCAGGTTATAGAGGAGTTTTACATGTTCCTTAGAGGCGTCACGGCTACTAAGTGGCAAAGGTAGACTCTGAGCTCATTCATCTAGCTCCAGAGGCCCTATCCCCAATTCTTACACTACATTTCTAATCCGTCATTCCTATAGGTGTGTCTTTACCTGAGAAGCTGGTAGCCCAGGTGATGTTGAGGTTGAAGTTTTTTGAGGCATTGATAAACATGTCCAAATCCCTGTTTTGCTGATGAGAAATGCACACAATTAGAAAATTGTTAACACTTTTCAGATTTTAAGACACAGCAACAAGGAGGTCTTTTTCAAGCATCCGAATTACAGACTATTTTACATCTCAAGAGTAGCTCATGCTTATATAAAGAGGTGACATTTCTTGCCAATTTTCCACAAAACAAGTAATAAGCTGAATATAAAATTTCATTTGCCTCCCATAGAAGTGTGAAATCCAGTACTTTATCAGATGTCAGTCCCATGAGAAAGGACCTGCACATTCTGCCTTCTGTAAGAGGAGTATATCTTCAGCATTTCTGAGCATCTGTTCCCAAATGATCAAGGTTCCCACTTAACAGGAAGACATCTCATTTAGCGTTTCAATTTTTATTTACTAATAACTGAAATTCATATGATTAATCCATATATAAAATATCTCTCAAATAGGAACTGGTTTCTAAAAATCTTACATAAGTCAAATGTACTAAATTTAAAACATGATTTATATTCATTCTTGATTTAAAAAATATTTCTCTCACTAAAATTATTATTTAAAAAAATGTCAAGAGGGCCCAGGTCCTGCCCCAAATGACATGTCAGACTTTGATGATCCCTCAAGGGAGGCTTCATCCTCCCGGGAGTGGAAGGGGGGTGGGGTGAGGGGTTGGTGGGAGGCATGGAAGGACGGGGGGGGGGGGGAGACTGGGATTTGTATGTAAAATAAGATTGTTTTTAATTTAAATAAAAATTTATTTAAAAAAGAAAAATATGTCTGAGTATAGTTCATTGGCTTTGAAAGTCTTGTTTCCCATTTATAGCAGTTCAAGTTCTTGGTTTCAGTAACTAAAGTTTTATCTTTGAGAAATCTGTGGAGTTGGACAGAAGTCACAGCTGTGCTCAGTAAATTCTAATGATGCTTTTAGTTTCCAATGAAGTTTCACTAGCTAATCTTTCTTGGGGCCTGTGGTAGTTTGAGAGTGGCCTCCATAGACTCATATACTTGAATGTTTGGTCCCCAGTTGGTAGAACTGGCTGGGAAGGGGTAGAAGTGTGGCCATGTTGGAGGTGAGTCACTGAGGTCAGCTTTGGGGGTTTGAGAAGCCTATGCCATTCTCAGTTAGCTCTTTCTCTCTCTATTTCTACTTGAGGATAAGATGTAAGCTCTCACCTACTGCTCCAGCACCATGCCTACCTACCTGTCCACTGCAATAATCCCTGCTATAATACTCATGGAATCTAACCCACTGTAACCATGAGCCCCAAATTAAATGCTTTCTTTTAAAAGTTGCCTTAGACATGGTGTTTTGTCATGGCAACAGAAAAGCAATTAAGACAAGGCCAAATAATTGTTTTGCAAACCAATCAGATGGGGGGAAAAGTTATTTTACATATACTGGTGTTTTTTGTTTGTTTGTTTGTTTGTTTTTTGTTTGTTTGTTTGTTTTGCCTGCATGTATATCTGTGTCTCATGTGCAAGCCTGGTGCTGGACAAAGTCAGAAAATGGCATCAGATGCCCTAGAAATAGAGATACAGATAGTTAGTTGTAAGCTGTCATGAGGGTGTTGAGAATGGGACCTGGTTCTCTGGAAGAGCAGCCAATACTTTTAACCACTGAGCCATTTCTTCAGGATTTAATTCTGTTTTCTTATATTTTACAAATTAATCCACCATGTTTGAAATGCTCATTTTAAAAAGGTATTTAAAACAGGTTAGAAAATTATGATTTTTCTTTAAAAAAAAAGTGTTGTTTGATAGTTATTCCAGAACACCACAATGGAAACTTTGCAAAAGCAATTTTCAAAATTGTGAATTTCCAAATAAGGGACTTCTCTCATACAGCAGGAATGCATTCAAGAAACCCTGGTCTTCTTTTGCAAGGGCATGTGTGTGCTTATTTATTTATATTAACAAGTATCTGGCAACAGCACAAGCTACCATGACAAGAATTAAAATCTTTGTCATTTTGCAAAAGACATATTTGAATAAATCTAGTAAGAAATCTGTTATAAAACACAACAAAATAGGGAAATGAAGAAAAGTCCAAAGACTCTCATGGTCACCTTGTTAACAAGTATTACAAAAATTCCACAATATTTATTTATTTTGACAGAGTGTAGCTGTCAAAACAAATATGGCTCAGGCTGGTCTCCACTCACTATGTAGCTGAAGCTGGCCTTGAGCTGCTGATGTTCCTGCTTCTATCTCTCAAGGACTAGGGCTATAGGTATATAGTTACCATGACTGGGTATTTGTTTATTTTAAAAATAAAGTGAACACTACCAATTATACCCTGAAAGACTGAGCTTTTCATATGCCCTATGACTAAGGCAGTAATAAATTTCGCTTGTGGTACTTTGCTATAAGCTCATGCCAAGAATCCAGTCAAGATGTTAAGGAGATGGTGTGAGCATGGGGATCTGAAGTATCCATGTAAAAAGCTAAGTGTGGTGGTATACATTTGTAATCGTAGTGCTAAGGAGAAGACAGGAAGATTACAGGGGTCTACTTAGCTATGTTTCAAAACAGTAAGGTGGAAAGCAACAGAGAGATACCTGATGTTGACCTCTGGCCTCCACTAACATAGGCACACACGTATATGCACACATATACCTCTCTCACACACTATCCACACAGCCATTCAAGTGATGTACCTAGGTACCACAAAGATGGATCAATGGTTAAGACCATTTACTGCTCTAATAGAGAACTAAGTTTCAATTGCCAGCACCCATTTGGCTGCTCACAACCATCTATAACTTCAGTTTCAGGAGATCCAATGCCCTCTTCTTACCTCTTACCCAGTAAACATATATGCAGGCAAAACACCCATAAATATAAAACAAAATAATTTTAAAAATTAAGTGCACGTGCAAAATTTTTCCAATTTAAGATCGCTTACATTTACTCAAAGAGCTGTTCACCCTTGAGGACTAGAGAAATGGCCTAACAGTTAAGAGTACTTAGTACTCTAGCAGAGGAACCTGGGTTGGTTCCCAGCACTCATAGGATTGCTCACAATGGTCTGTAACTCCAGTTAGGGGATTAAACCTACTTCTGGCCTCCACAGGCACTGTACACACATGATGTATAGATACACAAATAGGCAAAACAGTCATACACATTAAGTAAAATTAAATCTTAAAAAAATGTTCACTCAATAATTTGTCTTCTAAATACACCATCATGAACATTACTCTACTACTACTCTAAAAACATTCAGTGATGCTTGTCTTCTGAGTAGAAAGAAGACAAAATGTAGACTATAAATATTACTTTGTTCCCTGAGGAACTACTGCCAGTTAAAGGCTGCCTGAGAAGAGAAAATCATTTTCTTCAGTGCTGTAGTCACTGGTAAGGTGTCCATGCTCCAGTAATCATCAGGAAACCTGTTAAATTTAGTGAGACACACACACGCACACGCACGCACGCACGCACACGGACACATCCACTGGGAAGGTGACTTGTGGAGAAGAGGGACTAAATATGAGGGAGATAAAATAGGATACAGATGATGAGTATTATCAAAACACTTTATATGTAAGTATAAAAATGTTGAGTAAATGAGAAAATTATAAAAAAAGATTACCATGTATAGCCTGATACTGCTCTCCTACTACGCAGTACTTCTGTCCAGGATGGCCAAGAAAAGAACCCATAAAAAATTCAACACAAAATAAGACAACTTGAAAGAAATGCTTACTTCGTCAGGAGTAGCCACAAAATTGATGGCTGTATAATAGCGATCGTCTTCCTGGGACAGGCTAAAAGTGAACTGATAGTCAATGAGAAGGGTATCTATGGAAAGAAAGAATACATACTTAAAAATGATACAGGCAAATCATACACACCACACACATACCATAAGGATTAAAAAACGCATATAAAATAAAACAGGCCTCTGGAGGCACAGTTTGTTTTATTCACAAATTCAACAGCTATGAAAGGCTACTAATTATTCCCAGGATTTTTGAGACTGGGTCTCATGTTGCTTAGGCTGGCCTTGAGTTCCTAATCTTCCTGCCTAGTCTTATCAAGTGTGAGAATTATAGGTATGTACAGCTTACACAGGTTTTCCAAAAGAAACCAGAATTACCCCACAAACCCTGATGGAGGCTTTGGCTCTAATCAATTCATCTACAAATATTAACTAAGTATCTATATATGCTATGCTTTACTTACAATACAAAGGTATAAACTAATGATATAACAGAAATCAGAACTTCATGGAAAAGGGGTTGATTCAAAGTCTTAGACAAAAAATATAACCTTATTATTTTAATATAGAAAGTTGAGAAAACAGTTGTATACCAATGTGATACAGCTTTACTATGCTTACTGCCACAAATTTATACAACTTTAAAGCCTGTTGCAGCCTGGTCTACAGAGCTAGTTGCAGGACAGTTAGGGCTGTTACACAGAGAAATCCTGTCTCAAAAAAGCCTCTCTCTCTCTCCCTCTCTCTCTCTCTCTCTCTCTCTCTCTCTCTCTCTCTCTCTCTCTCTCTCTCTCCCCCACCAAGCATTAGTGAAATACAAAAATCAAAGTTACAATAAGCTACTTTTTCACATCCATTAATGGTTACTACTGAAAATATAGAAACAAAAAAAAAAATGCCCCCAAAATGAGTGAAAATTAAAAATTAGTGCCAATAAGGATGTAGAAAAAATAGAAATGTTTGTGCATTGCTTTTGGAAATGCAATGAACTGTATGAACTGTAAGGTGTTATAGAAAACAATAACAGCAGTCCCTCAAAAACAAAATCACACTCAGAATTAGCACATAGTACAATTGTACTCCTGGGGTGTATTCACTCATGTTTACATTACTGACAATACCAAAAGGTAGAAGCAACATGAGTGTCCACTGACAGAAGAAAGGACAAGCAAAACATGAAAGGCACAATATAGTATCAGCTCAGCTGTAAAAACAAGTCTTTTGCTTTTCTTTGTATCTTTTTTTTGTGCTGGGGACTGAATCCAGGAGCCTTGTGCATGCTAGGGTGGGCTCTACTGCTCCGCTACTGTCTGGCCCCAAAGAAAGACAATTCTGCAGTGTGTTACATGAGGGATGCGTGTCAAAGGCACACACCTAATATTAAGCAGACACAAAAGACAAACAATAAGTATGGTTCCATTCAGATGCCACACCCAGGATATTCACAGAAACAAAAAACAGAATGAATGACATTAGGAACTGGAAAGCATGGGGAAAGTTACTGGTAAGTTCAACTTATAGATTTCATATCATATTTATTAATATTATTATTACTACTACTACAAAGCCCAATGTTGGCTTTGAACTTACTATGTAGCCAAGAATGACCTTGAACTTGTGGTCTTTGTGCCTCTCACACAGTTCTGGGTTTGGGTGCAACCATGTCCAGTTTACGTGGTGCTTCAGGATGAACCTAGAGCCAACTGAGCGATAGCTCCAGTTGATAAATCCACTTCTAATTTTTTAAATATCACACCAAATGGTTTTTCAAAGTGACTATACTATGATCAATTTGTCTTCTGTTTCCAGATTTTAATCTTTAAGAAGTGACCAGTTTCTCCAGTCATTATGATACTAAGGATACTATCAATAGCTATGTGAACTGGCTATTAAAACACTCTATCCTGTTTTAGTCTGGTGAGTTGGTTTTATTTTTATTTTTTTCAATATGGTTAACAAAAGAAGGTTTATTACAACAGATTGAATGCAAAAAGAGATTATATTTGTCCTCTATTAAACCACAGATTAGTTTGATGTGTGTACACATGTGTGCTGGCCAAAGATACCCTGGGGTGTCATTCGTCAGGTGCCATCCACCTTGGTGTATGAGACAGTGAGCCCCACCTCTCTAGTGCTGAATTCAAAGCATTCACCACCACACTTGGCTTTGTTGTATGGTTCTGGGTGTCACACTCAGGTTCTCATGCTTGCACAGCAAGAACTTTACCAACCCAGCTATGTCCACAACCTAGTATTAGCTTTGATTATAGTCATTTCAGGCCTGTATCTCACTGTGTGGTTTTAAGTACATAATCTACCTATGGCAATATAGAAATGAGTATTTTTTAAAGTATTTGTTGATATTTGTTAATCTTCATTCACATTTTCTTTAGTCAATCTTTGCCTTTTTTTTTTTAAAGATTTATTTATTTATTATGTATACAGTATTCTGCCTGCATGTATGTCTGCACATCAGAATAGGGCACCAGATCTCATTATAGATGGTTGTGAGCCACCATGTGGTTGCTGGGAATTGAACTCAAGACCTCTGGAAGGGCAGCCAGCACTCTTAACCTCTGAGCCATCTCTCCAGCCCCTCTTTGCCTGTTTTTTAAATTTTTTTTTTCAGTGCTACTATATTTTTCTTCTTTCCTTTCTTTCTTTCTTTCTTTTTTTCTTTTTTTGCTTTTAACTATAACTGTTTTCTTATTCAGTTCTAAAATTTTTCTCTATATCTTAGCCATAAGACTTTTACCAAGTGTAGAAATTGTAGGGAAAGGTATGGTGGTGTACTACTTTAATCCCAATACTCAGGAGGCAAAGGCAGGCAGATTTTTGTGAGTTCAAGGTCAGCCATTCTACAAGTCGAGTTCTAGACTAGCTAAGGCTACATATTAAAGTCTTTATCTTAAAATTTAAAAAGAGAGGCTGAGGGCAGCAGAGACAGTCAAATGGTTAAGAGGACTGGCTGCTCTTCTAAAGAACTCAAGATTCTATTACCAGCACCCATATGGCAGCTCACAACTGTTGGTAACTCCAGATCCAGGGAATCTGACCTTCTCTTCTGGCCTCCAAGGGCAACAGGCATACACATGTTACACAGACATACATGTTGCAATAACATACAAACTGTATTATTTGAGAAAGGTTTCATATTACATAGCCCAGGCCGGCCTCAAACTCATGATCCTCCGGTCCCAGTATCTCAATGCTGGGATTATAAGCATGTGCCCCTACACCCACCTTGTTTTTAATTTAAAAAAAAATTAAAATTAAAATTAATGCTTTGCTTTGTGGTGCTGGGGGGGGTGAACAGGACCTTACTAGGTAAGCAGTCTACTACTGAGCTACATTTGCAGGCCCAATTTTTTAGATGTAATTTTTAAAGTTTAAAAAAGTACACATTAACATTTTCTTTGATGAATCAGTTTTAGAATCATAGCTAAATTCCCATAGGACGAGTGGTCCCAGCTACTTGGGAAGCCAACTTAAGACCTGCCCAAAAGCTACAAAAAAAAAAAAAAAAAAAAAAAACACTTTTCCTACCTAAAGTCAAGAACCCCCATATACACACAAGCTTTATTCCACAGTTTGTATTCACCATTATACTACATATGTCAAACATGAACTCCTTTTTCTCTTGCTCTGTACTCTGAAGCCAACTATGTAGATTCCCATATATACAGAAAAATATATTTAACATAAACCTGGTTACCTTACCAGATTTACTTCTCATTCCAAGGTAATTTTTTGGTGTTTTGTTTTATTTAATTGTTCCTAAAGACTTGGTGGACACATTCAGCTCCAGAGAGAACAGTGAAACTTCACCTGTAGTTTAGAGACTCTTTTATCATTCTCTGTCTTAAAATGTGACATGATAGACTACATCAGGCAATGGCAAATGAGGTAAGCTTTAAGAGAACTAAGGAAAGCATATCCCTGCTAACTGCTGTGGACAGACTAACAGAAACTATGACCACAATTAAAATAGTGTTCACCAAGTCAGGCACATGCTTATGAGTATTTGCTATATCTTCCAACATTTCATTCTCAAACCATGTTAAAGAAAGCAATGTAGTTCTGTTCAACCGCTCTGTTTCTAGAAACAAGAATTTTAAAAACTTACAGTAGCATGTTCCTTTGAGAGGGTTTCCTTGGTATCGATTTTCTACCTCACATCTAAGGAAAAAAGGAAATTATTTTCTGTTGATATTTAAAGTACAGAATCTACACTCATTTTTAAACCAAGCAGATCCTTCTCCATAAACTATACCATTATTTAGGTCAAATGGACTAGCCCACTTGCATTAGTTTTCCTGCTGACTACTCAGCAGTTTATACCAGCAACAGTCTAAAAGCAATGGATAAACAATCACTTGCTCAAGGAAGTAGGGTAAGTCCAAGTGTAATAAAGCTAGAGCCTACTTATAAGGAAACCTCATTTTCATTTTTGTGTAGATTGTGCATTCTTCTAAAAGTGCAGTTAAAGGTTTCTCAAACATTTGTTTCTCATTTCTATCCTGGTCTTCATAAGTAAACTAATTGCATTAACTAATTTATTTGTTTATTTATTTTTCTGCATCTCATTACATAGCCCTAGCAGGCCTGGAACTCAATATAGAGACTCTAACTCTCTGAAACCATAAGCGAAATTAAATGCCTTCTTTTATAAGTTACCTTGGTTATGGTGTTTTATCAGAGCAATAGAAAGTAACTAAGGTAACCTGTCTAAAGCAAAAAAGGCAAACTTCCAAACTAATCTACTCAAGGACCCTGGGAATTCAGGGAAACAACAGGCAGCCAGGTGACCTCAGGCTCCAGGCAGCCTCACAGCCCTGGCCCTCACTGGTGCTACAAAGAGTGTGGTACTCACAGCTGGCACTCATCCCCCTTGACACCCTTGGTCGTGCAGAAGCACTTGCCGGTGTTGGTGTTGCACAGTGATGCGTGCCCATTGCACCTGCATGCTGGGGGAAGGAATGGAACACAGGTCATAACTGGTTTGACAGTTCATTACCACAGATGTTAATTAAAACAAGCAATTTTGCTTGAAATGGGTTTGTAGGAAAGACAGACTAATGCAAGAGAAATCACTGAATAAGACTCATTATTTTCCAGCTAATGGCAGGACAGCCTCCAAAGCAATACAGAGAAACCCTGTCTTGAAAGACCAAAAAACATCAAAAACCAAAAAACAAACAAACAAAAAAAGACAGTAACTTATATTCTAACAATAAAGTAGCCTATGGCTTTCAGACTTCAGACTTGAATGGGAAAATGTGGGACTACTCAAATATTAAAACTGAGAAGTACTAGGGAGAGCGTGTGAAGCTGGGCATTTGGGAGGTGGAAGCAGGAGGGTAAGGAGTTGAAGCTCATCTTCAACCACCCCAGATCCTGTCTAAAACCAAACAAAACAAAACCCAGGCCATTGCAAAGACTTTATCTGGGGTCCTCGGGAGGTCAGCTGTCCTCCCCCCACAGACTGGCACAGCCAGGTGATGCACAGTCTCTGCCAGAAATGCAGTTCAGAAGGGGGCTCCTGAGAACTACAGGTTCTCAAATGTACCAGCACTCCTATGTCTCTGTGTGAGGCTTCCAGAAGAAGACTTCTTTGGATGCCTCTGTGGTACCTTGTTGTGGAAGAAGAGAAACTGAAGAAACTGCCTTCATTCTGACTCAGTGCCCAGAACTTCTCATTCCTAGCTTTTCCCTTCAACCCCCCCATGCTGCTGACCTGACTCCCCAATGGTGAGATGACCACCCACCCCAGTGCTGCCCTGCTTCATCTGAGCTCATGTGCTTGCACAGGAGGAAAGATGGAACAGAGGAAGTGGGTAGCTTCTCCCATGTTAGCCCTTCTTTTTACATAAGGGCTTAACTCCTTCACTGCTGGCTTGTTGCTTTAACCAGCTACTCCCAAGCCTACAAGTTCAACCCTTTTTCTCTTCCAGACCAGTTGAACTCTTTACAATGTTACCTAATAAGAAAGGCAGTATCCCAAACCAAGAGGCCTTTCCCCTTTAAGATATTTAAGTCAAATGCAAGTACTGTACAGTTCCACCTGACTTGTGACAACAAAGTTGACTAGTCTCACTTACGTTGACATTTGCCTCCATTAGTCGGATCACCATAGAAGCCAGAAATGCAGGTCTCACAGTGCTTGCCAGTGGTCAGGTTCTCACACTTCTCACAGATACTCTGGTTAACACATTTGCTATGTCCATTGCACTGGCAAGCTGAAAGGCAAGGAATTTTTAGGGTTCTGACTCTCCCACAGGCAGACTGGGTGAGTAAATTCCACAGATTTATTTGCATATACTCTAAATGTTAATCATCAAAGTTAGTTCCAACTACAACGAAGGAAGGGGCAGGCAGCATCCCAACCCTGTGGTTCTATCTTGCTTAAGCCCAGAGACTTCAGGTCAGCCTGGGTAACACATTTAGATTCCCATCTAACAATTTTTTTTTTTCAGTAAATAGAAATAAACAAAGGAAAAAAGCTGAGTGTGGAATTCAAGACCATCCTTGGCTACATAGCAAGTTTGGGGCCAGTCTAAAAAATATAAACAAAACAAAACCAGGTTCACTAAAAACTAGATTGAGAAAATAAAAATCAAAAGCAAAATAGTACTAAAAACAAAACATATTATTAAAGCAAAGTGAAAGTCTACAGCACTGCATGCACATCGTGCATAGGTATTAAGTTCCAACAAATACTTACACACATTTTTAAAAAACAAAACAAAACAAAAAACACTGAGGAAGAGGTCATGGACAACGCTCCTACTTAATATACCAAAGACAATACAATATCTAGGAATAAACCTAACCAAGAAGGTGAAGGATTCCTACAATGAAAACTCAAAACCTCTAAGACAGGGATCAAGAGAGGCACTAAAACATGGAGTCACCTTGTGATCATGGATCATTAGGATTAATATTGTGAAAATGACCATCCTACTAAAAGCAAGTTACAGATTCAATGCAATCCTAATCAAAATACCAACAACATTTTTCACAGAAATAGAAAAAAAGTCCTAAAATTCATATGGAACCAGAAAAGACTCTAGATAGCAAAAGCAATGCTGAGCAAAAGGAATAAAACTGCAGGGATTGCCACCACAGATTTCAAGGTATATCACTGAGCTATTGCAATAAAATCAATTTGGTATGGACACAAAACAGACATGCAGACCAATAGAATAAAACAGAAGAACCAAAAAAATGTTTCACAAGAGCAAAAACATGCACTGTAGCAAAAACAACATCATTAACAAATGAAGCTGGGAAAACTGGATGTCCACATGCAGAAGAATGAAAACCGATCTGTATCTACCACCTTTTACAAAAACTAACTCCAAATAGATCAAAGACATAAGCCAAAACACTAAAACTTCCAGAAGAAAACATAAGCAGGACCCTACACGATATATGTTTATAAAAGGACTTTCTAATGAGGACTCCATTTGCCCAGGAATTGAGGCCAACAACCGATAAATGGGATTTCACAAAGCTAAAAAGCTTCTGTGCAGCTAAGGGGAAAAAAAAAAAAAAAAAAAAAAAAAAAAAATCAAGTTAAGAAGAAGCCCACAGAACGGGGAGAATCTTTGCAAGTTATACATCTGTCAGGGGATTAATATCCAAACCACAGAAAGAACTCAAAAATCAGAGTCAAGGAAACAAATGACCCAATTAAAAAACGGGCTAGAGATCTGTGCTGGCTAGTTTTATGTCAAGGTTTATTCTTTATAAACAGGTAGTGAGAGAACTGAACTAGGAAACACGGGCATCTTACCTGGACAGTGAATGAAAGACCAGTTGTATCGGCTGTCCTCTAAACACATGCTAGAGTTCAGAAGAGGCTGTGGATATACATTTCCTGTAGAAGCCTGTGAAGGCATCCTTATGGGTCCTTTATAGCTGCCCTCAATACATTTCCCTTTCCCAGTATTGCTAGGATCAGTACACCAGCCACAGCCTGGCTGCTCCAAGCAATGGCTGCAGGTACAGTAGCCAGAACAATTTTCAGCTATTAAAGAAAAAAAAAAAAAAGAACTTGTAATTCACTATCACAAGTAGATTTTAATTTACTGTTGTTACTTTTTCTATGACAGGTGATTTACTTCCTTGAATTAATACTAATACCTTATAGTGACTACTGAAATGAAATAATTTAGAGTCCAACATTTTACACAACATACAGCAGAGACTTTTCCCATCTTTTCAAGATAAGAATGTTAGAAGCAGAAGGGACCGTGAGGTTCTCTACTGGAAAGTACCTTACAAATAAGCAGATTAAGATGTGGAGACATTATAGACATTGAACTATAATATGACCCCAAAGAAGAAAAGTCATTCTGTACCCCCTGACTTATCCTAGATTTATCTGATTTACTGCATGGATCACTGTGCCTAATTCTATATACACATTTTAATCTGGAAGGACCAGTTGAACCATCTTCTGAACAGATTGAGCAGAAGGTCGTGTCCAACTTGCCTATAAATGTTCAAAGGCTCTTTTCACTTACGCGGGCAGCTGCTCATTGTATACCACTCCATACACTGGCCAAAAGGGAAGGAGGCCACATAGGCATTGGAGTCTACACACTGCTTCATGTTGCTGCACCACATGCACTCAGAGCTGCTGCTAGTGCATTCGCTACACGCTGTCCGCAGGGCACACGGTGTCCGGCACTGCTTGGCACTGTGGTTTGCTGGGAATTAAGCCCAAATGGGACATTGGTCAGCTAAGGTCAAAGACTTTTCAATATGCATTATGAAATCAGTTCAGCACTACACTACATGGAGGAAAGCCCAGGAAACTTGGGAGGCATAGGCTCTGCTTATTCAAGTGTACTTAAGCATTTAGAGGAAAATGGACTTTCTTTTCAAAAAGCACTGAAGACAAAGGTGGGAAAACAAAAGAATTATAGAACACAGGTGACATGATAAACCTCAGGGATCTCAGCTGAGTTTGTTAAAGTCTACATTTACAACTGTGAGGGATGACAAGGACGAAAATCTTTCCTGTAAAAAATTTAGAAATTCAGGGGACTGGAGAGATGGCTCAATGGTTAAGAGCATGTATTGTTTTCCCAGAAGACCCAATTCAACTCCTAGCACTCATGTCAAGCTCACAACCAACTGTAACTCCAGCTCCAAGAGATCTGACTCCCCCCCACACACCCCATATGATTAAAAGATAAACAAGCATTTTAACATATTTTAGAAACCCTCTCCTAAGGCTGTCCCATGCTGTGAATCTCTTCTACACCTTAGTACTACCCAGACAAATACAGTATCTTCCTGAAACTGGGCCTGCTGGGAATGGAGTCCAGCGTCCCCAAATAACCCACACTTGTCCCTCCTGCTTCTGAGTTATCAGTTGTGTGTGGCTGCCCTGGGCCTGCCTTCATGGAGCCCAACCACAGCCTCAGCACAGGACTGCCCACAGCCTAGGGCTGGCTCTGTCTGTGTCTTTTGCCATGTCCCTCCCCACAGCAGCTTTCTGAATGCTGTCTTGACTTGCTGCTTTTCTAAAGGTTTCTGTGCTGTCCTTTCTTCCATAGCCTTTCTCTGTCAACACCAAGAAAATAACCTTTCAGAACATTTCTCAACACTTTGTGGTCAATAAAACAGCCTAGCTCGATTAAATTAGTTTACTTCAGTAATTTTATTTTTGGTTTTGAGTATGACGCAAACCAACAAATACTATTTCCTTCTGCACTGGGATTTGGGTTCTGTCTGAAATAAATATGCCTGAATCGGTGTTTTCCAGCTGCTGTCATAAGTATTTTATGCATCTTAGTATTCAACCAATTATGCCTCCAATGCTTTCCTAGCAAACCTCTTGGAGCACTGTATTCACCCATGTCCTTACCAGGCCTTTCACAAACACTGCCATTGAGTGGGTTGATGCAGGTTGCAGCCTTCAATCCCCGAGTACTAGGCTCTGACAAGATCCCACAGAAGCCAGCATCACTGGGCTCAGATGGCATCCACTGCAGCAAACTATTTGTAAATGGAGACATATCCTCCCAGCACCAGTAAGACACATTGATCTTCCGAAGACCAACCCACGGAGTCAGAGTAAGCTTGGACTGTAGGCAAAAGAAAATACCCATGTCTTTTCCAAAACAGGCTTTGACATAAAAAAAAAACACTAGTTTGGGCATACCCCACATATGTGCAGAAAACCCCTATTTCCCAAACTCAGGCAAAGTAGACTGAAATAAGTGATCATTTCAACATGGTCATTTTGCAAAGCATAAAAGTGGCTCAAAGAAGATAACACAGCAAGAATTCCAGAGATCAGTAGCAAAGCAATAATCAAGTTTCAAATGACTTACGTTCTATGAGAAGTACTATTAAAAAAATCCACAAATATGATTCATAAATGGCTCATAAATGAAGTCACTTTACTAATACTTATAAAATATTGGTTGTATGCCTAACATTACCTGAGCCTATATGGCCTATATGGCCAGTTCATATGATTTAAAATGTGTACCTTTGGCCACAAGGCACAGTCTGACACACTATTTTCCAGTTTTCCTGCTGCATAACTGCCAAAACTCAGGCTCATGTTCAAAGTGACAGATTTCCTTCTTTTAAAGGTGAGTTCACATTCTACTGTGTATATGTGTATGTATTACATTTAATCTACTCATCAGTGTGTATGTCAAGTTTTATCTACTCATCTGTGTGTGTCACATTTTACCTACTTATCTGAGTACATATCACATTGTATCTACTTATCTATGTATGTGTCACCTTTTACCTATTTATCTGAGTATGTATCATACTGCATCTACTTATCTATGTATATCTCACATCTTATCTATTTATCTAACTCCACATTACATTTTATTTTTTAAAAAAGTCATGAACCTGTACAACAGTTTCTGACTCCTCTGCTTTTGTTGCAAGAAGTGAGACTCAGTGTCTCCACTGCATGCACTCTACCACTGAGCTCCATCTTGGACAGCTCTGAAATTTCTTTCTCATTCAAACTTTGTTTTTTTGTTTGTTTGGTTGGTTGGTTGGTTGGTTGGTTTGGTTTTGTTTTTTGTTTTTTATGTTTTTTGTTTTTGTTTTTGAGACAAGGTATTCCTACATAGCCCTGAATGTCCTAGCATTCCCTATATAGACCAGGGTGGTCTTGAACTCACAGAAATCTGCTTGTCTCTGTCTCCTGAGTGCTGGGATTAAAGGCATGATGCACAGTGCTTGGTTCCCCACTGCAATTTAAAAAACAACAACAACAACCAAAAGAAACTTTACAGGAACTGGAGAGATGGCTCATCAGATAATGCTGCTCTTCCAGAGGACCAAAGTTTGGATCCCAGCAGGCAGCTTATAAATGTAATTCTAGCTACAGGGGCTTGTACACCCTCTTCTGGCCCCTGTGGGCAGCCCCTTCTCCCACAAGCTCTCAGTACTGCAAGTACCTACTACACACTTCAAAGTTCATGCTAGTCTCCTGGCCCTTCCCCCACATACATGCCCTCCTTGTAATTCACACGGTTTGTTAAGTTCATGCTAGTCTCCTGGCCCTTCCCCCACATACATGCCCTCCTTGTAATTCACATGGTTTGTTAAGTTCATGCTAGTCTCCTGGCCCTTCCCCCACATACATGCCCTCCTTGTAATTCACATGGTTTGTTCACCCCACACACTCTCTCATCTCCTTATCTCCTTGCTATCTATCTCCACTGTTGTCTCCTATTTCCCTACCCTGGCCTTGCCTAGTCTGCTTCTTTTTCTGTCTACTCTAGATTCTTCCAGATGCCTTTGGATATTTTCTCTCTCATATTCACAACTAACAGAGTGGTCATGTCAGCAGTCCTCGTCCCCGCATACACCTTGTGCCAAACACCTGGGGGGGGGCACAAATGGACTCCTTTCCAAGGGGCCCAGCCTCTCCAGACCAAGCAAAGGTGCTGATTTGACTTTCCTAAGGTATGGTTCATTTGTTTCTGTTGGCTTTTGCCACCCATCATATTCAACTCCAAACTCGAGAGTCTACCTCTCCAGCTACTTCTCCACTGCTCTAATAACTCACCTCTCTGTCTACTCTGGTAAGTGCCACCTCTGAGCTGGCTGCTCAGTCTATGTCTCCCTCAGCCCATGGAGCCTACTTCTGCTACAAAAGTCCTGCCAGTGTGTCAGACACAAAATGTATGCTAGGGGTGCAGTAAAGAAACTGCAGATACCACTGTTCCAATTTTAGGGTAAGGTTTTTATTGTGAATAAGAGAGAGAAAATATCCAGAGGCGTCTGCAAGAGTCCAGAGCAGAGAGAGAGAGAAAAACAGACTGGATACAGCTAGGACTAGAGAAATGAGATAGTGGGAAAGAAGAGTGGAGATAGTAAGACACAGAGAGAATGTGTGAGGTGGATGTAGCATGTGGATTATAAGGAAGAGGAACTACTGTAGGGTAAAAAGCGGCATAAGAGAGAAAGACGTCATGCCACTGAGTTCAGAGTGGTTTTTTTTTTTTTTTTTTTTTGCGGGGGTGGGGGAGGGAGGAGGGGAGAAAGAAGATGAGCAGAAGAGAAAAGAGGGGGAAGTGGGGGACACAGTACAACAGACTGGCAGAGAAGCAGAGAGAATGAGAAAGAGGGAGAGAAATAGACACAGAAGGATGAGAGGTGGGCAGTGCCCTTTGAAAAAGGAGCATAGTGACCGTGCACAGGAGGCACACTTAGTGGCTACAGCTGAGGATGTACCCTGTCAGAACTCCAAGGGCAGATACCCTATCAGCATCCCAAGGGCAGGTCAGTACAGACACCTGAATATTAATAGCTGGGTGGAGGGAAGGGCCAGGAGACCACATGAACTTTGAAATGTGTAAGAGCCTTGATATGATGATAGGTGCCACAGGTAGCCCTAAGTTTATTCTGCTACTCATAAGAAAATGACTCCTTTTGACAGATAAGATCCAGTTTCACCAGCTCCTGAGTAATGCTAGCTTTTATATAACTGCCAGAAATCCTTCTGTAGTCCAGTTTGAGCTCATTTCTGGATATATGGACTTTCTGAGACTTAACAGCCAAGACCCATAACATACTTCCACATGTCATAAGAAGGTGGTGCAAATGAAAAATGCTGTGCTGTACTCGTTTCCTCCTGGCAAGACAAAAGCATACACCCCACATCTCTCTATGCTACTTTGTGAATATCCACCGAATTGACCATAGCATCACAATTCTTGGACTTTGCATGAAAAATGCCAAATGGGATCAACTACAAGCCATTCAAGAGCTTGGCTAGACAATAAGAGAACTTGAGCCTGAGTTCAAAAGCTGTAAGGTTTTGTATTTCTTACTAGGGGTCATATTATATGTTATAATAATATCTTTAAGGGAAACAAATGGCTTAATAACAACTAGCTAACTAACTTGGTACAAGCCCTTCTCCCAAGAAGATATAAAACCAGTATGAAATAATCTGATGTCAACAGATGTGAAGGATTGAATAGATATGGCCCCCATAGACTTTTGGCCTATAGAGAGTGGCACTAATAGAAGAGAATGTCTTTGTTGAAGTAGGTATGGCCTGCTAGAGGAAGTGTGTCACTGTGGGGGTGGCTCTGAGGTCTCATATGCTACACCCAGTGTTAGACACAGTCCACTTTCTGTTGCCTATGGACCAATATGGAGAACTCTCAGCCCCTTGTCTAGCACCATGTCTGCCTGCACACTGCTTTGCTTCCCGTCATGATGATAATGGACTGAACCTCTCAAACTGTAAGCCAGTACCAATTAAATGTTTGCCTTTATAAGATACCATGGTCATGGTATCTCTTCACAGCAATAGAAACCCTAACCGAGACATCAAAATATGTACACATATTATTATTTATTCCACATATTCATATCTTATAATTTACTTAATAAACATGACTAGTAAAAAAATATTCAAAGTACTGAACTCTTTAAGATAAGAAGAAAGGCATTAGAACAAGAGACTCTGAAGTATAGAGTCAGTCTATTATTAATCATTTATTGAAATTCTTTATCTTATGTGGCCTTCTACACATAAGCTGCTATTGTGCCCACAGTGAAAAAAAAGGTACTAGAAACCAAAGTTCTGAAAATGTTAACTCACCATGCTCTGAGATGACTGCATTAATCGAAGATGCTTAAGGACAAATTCCACCTTCTTCTGGGATGTAAGGGAAGCCAAAAAGGCATTGTGGTTCCTACAGGACAACTTAGCATTGTCATAATTTTCCTTAGCAGTAGTGATTTTCAGACATGAGTTTCCAACCAAATGCCAGCCAATGCCACAGATATTTTCTTTTATAAAGGAGGAAAAAGAAAGTAAAGTTTTAGAAATAATATAAAAGTAGTATATTTTGGTTCAGTTACTGAACATCTAAGCCCATTCTTCTAATTTGAATTCCAGGTGCTTCATTAGGACTTAGAGAGAGTATCAGATACATTATTATTAACTTCCATATGCAGAAAAAAGTTTGAAAATAAATCTTTTTATTTTTTAAATTACGTGTATATGTGCACCTTGAGTGTGGGATTATACATAGGACTGCAGTGCCCACAGAGGCCATAAGAGGGCATTAGATCCAAGCTAAAATTACAAGAGTTGTGAGCTGCCCAGCATGGACATTGGGGATCAACTTTGGGTCCTCAGAACAGGATGTTCTCTCTCTCTCTCTCTCTCTCTCTCTCTCTCTCTCTCTCTCTCTCTCTCTCTCTCTCTCTGTTTTGTTTTCGAGATAGGGTTTCTCTGTGTAGCTTTGTAGACCTCGCTGGCCTCGAACCCACAGAGATCCGCCTGCCTCTGCCTCCTGAGTGTTGGGATTAAAGGCATGCATCATCACTACCCAGCAAGTATGCACTCTTAACTGCGGAGCTTTCTCTCCAGCCCCAGAATAAAAGACCTTTTTAAAAGGTTCACCAGTCATATTTCTTGGCTTTCAAAAGTATACTCTGGGTCAATGCTCCTATATCCTAAAGGCAAACTCTTTGGTTAGATATTGGTACACTCTTTTTGGAAAAAAAATGAAAAAGACTAAAATCTTGAATGAAGAGTATACAAAGAAAGTATGTATATTGGAAGGATGGGGTGGAAAACTGCAAATGGGGGCTTGGGAGATGATTCAGTGGTGAAATACTTGTGCCAAGCCTAAGGACCCAGTTCAGATCCCCAGGACCCACATAAAAAGCTAGGCAGGGTTTTGCTCACTTGTAATCTCAGCTGAGGGCTGGAGGCAGGAGCATGCCCAAGGCTTTCAAGTCAGCTAGTCTAGATAAATCAGTGAGCTCCCCATTCAGTCAAGGCCCCTATCTTAAAACAATTGAATGTGGATAGTGATAGAGAACTATACCGGAAGTTAACCTCTGGCCTCCAATGTATACTTATTTGCTGAAGATGTATATATACAGGAAAATGTAATCTGCAAATGGAATTGAATTGGGGAATGGATAAATTTAAGTCTCCAAATGCTACCATGTTTTTACATGAGATAGAAGGTATAAGCAAATGCAGAGACATACCAAAAATGAAATGAAGAGGGAGATTGGTTTAGGAAAAACCTCAAAGGAATATGGCACACAAAGGAAGTCTGCAGTCTCTTCCTGTGATTGTGTTGAGCTCATGTAAAGTGTTGCATGGAAGTGTGGCTGCTCCTGGACACTAGCATGAAAGTGAACAAGCAGGAGACTCCCTCAGAACCAGGCTACTTTGTTGAATACACCAACAATGCTCATTAACTGTAAGAGGCCTGTGGAAAGGTATAACTCAAGAGCAGATAAACTAGCTGCTCAGAATGTGATATAAGCAGTGAGTCAAAATTACAAGCTTCCAAGGCCTATATTAGAACATACCTTTTAACAGGCACCTAGGTATTCCATCGGACATTAAAGTGTGAGACACAAAACAAAAAGCCTGAAGTGGTTTGAATAAGAATGATCCTCATAGGCTCATATATGAATGCTTAGTCACTAAGGAGCAGCACCATCAAGAAAGGACTGGGGGTATAACCTCGTTGGAGTAGCTGTGGGCTTGTTAGAGGAAGTATGTCACTGGGGGTGGACTTTGAACTTTCAAAAGCCCATGCTTCTATGCTTACAGATCAGGATGTAGCTTTCAGCTATCACTCCAACACTTGCCTATGTGCTGCCATGCTCCTGTCATGATAATCGCCTCTGAAACTATAAGTAAGCCCCGGTTAAATGTTTCCTTTCATAAGAGTTGCCCTGGACCAGGCAGTGGTAGCACATGCCTTTAAGCCCAGCACTCGGGAGGCAGAGGCAGGCGGATCTCTGTGAGTCTGAGGCCAGTCTGGTCTACAGAGCAGCCAGGACTGTTACACAGACAGAAACCCTGTCTTGAAAAACAAACAAACAAACAAAAAAGAGAGTTGCCTTGGTAATGGTGTCTCTTTACAACAATAGAACACAGACTAAAATAAAGCCCATTTGGCAAACTAAATAAAATTCTTTCAGAGTCCAGATCAACTGCCCTACTCAAGCCTCAGATGCTGGAGAGCCAGAAAGCCCCCCCACCCCCTTCTAGGAAATCCTAATCAAATACTTCATAGAGATTTAGTCATGGCTATCTGGTTTCAGGACCTAAAATCATCACCCTGAAGCTCCACTGAAATAGTCAGGAATGAGGGTCACATTAGATGCTGTTACAGACAGAAACCTCTCCTCACTGAACTATCAGGAAGCACTTCCTGCAGGGCCCTGGCTGCTGCTGAAACTGCAGAGCTCTAGGACCAGGTTATCACAGCAGGAGGGACAGGGACACAGTTTGTGATATGGGTCTAAGCTACCAACCGATTCTCCAGAGCAGATTTTCTGTTTATTTCAAAGGTCAGTAGAATAAATATGTCAGAAGCATGTTTCAGTTAAAAACAAATACAAAGTAATTACCCCAAACAGTAAGAGGGTTAAACAGACAGAATATGCTTCTCTTTCCTAGGTTCAACCTAACCTAGGGAGGAAGGACCAAGTTTTTGTCCCTCACAGAGGGTATCTCAGTTGCAAGGCCTACCTACCAGGCAGAGCGATGCACTCCTGATTCCGGGGCTCCCACTGGCAGTTCTGGTCTAAGGCACAGCTTCTGCAGCTTGTTTTCTTATTGCAGTAGTACATGGGGTTATCCTTGGGGCAACTGTCATACTTGGAGATGGAGATCTAGAACACAGTGGAGAAGTGCTTTTGTTTATATTCACACCAAGAACCCAGTAAGGACTAATATGGTCCTAAAGACAGTAACTGAGAATGGTCACTGCAGATAGAAGGGGGGGGGGGGTTTAGATGGATAGAATGAACAGGAAACAGTACTGTAGTAGGAATACCATAGTGCGTTCTCACTGACATGCCTTTAGCTGAGAAGGTAACCCACTGGAACCACCTCCACCACGCCCCATTCAGTGATTATCTGTACAATGTGAAAGCTGAACTGGCTGCTTTTCCAGTGTTACTCCCAACCTCCCACCCACAGCAGCAGTCTCAAGTTTTATATCTCATTAAACTGGGGGGAAAAACATGCCATAAGCCATCACCTCATCTTCTTTAGCCTGTTATTACCTAAATTTAAAGTCATACATGGTGAGCACAGAGGCTATGCTGAGTCAAGATATAAGACAAAGACACTTTATAAAACATTTTTTCTGAAACACTACACACAAACCTCATTAACTAGATAGACCCTTGGAATCAGGATGTATACAGTGTCCCTTCCTAAGAGAAAATCTGAACAATAGTAAAATTCAAATCTACAATCTACTTTAAAAATGAATCTGCTCCAGGTGATCCTACATTCAAAACAGCTGGACAAAGCAGCCTTGCAGACTACAGCCAGGATTTCTGCATCTTCTTAGAATCCCCCATGACAGCGCCTCTTACCGGCAGGAAGTAGTTTGGAAAGAACAACACCCAAATTCCCAAAGATTGTCTATAAATGTTTGTTTTCATTTAAATGTACTTGGTTATATAAAATAAATAAATTTTAAAAAAGAACACACACACACAAATAAATCTACTCATTATTTACACTATACCCAAACTCAACTAGCATTTTTTGCTGTCCTCTAAAATCCTTGCCAAACAGCATCTAACCTGGCCTTCTGTGCAGCTGTGGTTCACAGGGACACAGTGATCATTGCACCAGTGGCAGTCATTGGTATTGGCCGTGCAGCTGTAACAATCTGTGTGCTGGTCACATCTGTCATGGTCAAGGGCTATGAAGAGAAGAAAAACTCATCAACTGTGTGACAGCCTCTGTTGAGCAGAATCTGAGACAGATAAGCTCTGACCAATGGTTGGGAGGCAAATGTAGGGTCAAACTGAAAGGAAAAAGCACTGCCATGTTCAGGTTAAAATAAAACAGAAATAAGAAGACAATCTGAAAAATACTCTTTTGTAACTGTCCCCCTCCCCCACAAGGTATACAGAAATTGAAAAGCAAAGGTCTGTTAATTTTATAGCAATTCTAAGACATAATGTGAGATCTGGACCTTTGAATGCTTTCTTCTCAGGACAAATATCATCTAGCAATAGAATTAACACCAGAAGCTGTCCAGAAGCCCAAGAAAGTAAGTAATATAAGGGACCAAGGCATTCCTCCTAGCTAAAATGCAAGGCCTATCTGGGTGCAAGTATATCCTGTGACCAAGAACACCACAGGAGGCACTTGCTAAGCTGTACCCTATACACATGTGAATTCAAGACTGTGTGTTTCAGAACTTCCACTCTGTAGACCCCAATGAGAAGTTGCAAAGCCACGCAGCCCCATCTATTAAACCATCTCATAGACATGTCACAGAAACTCTCCTGCTCAGTTTGTATCTTAGGCTGCTTTTCCTGCCAAGTTTATTATAACAGGATTAGGTCTCCCCAGAAAGTGAGACAAAACCAATGGGCTCATAATGAACCACCTAGGATAATATATTCCAATATACTGACATTTAAGCTGAATTTTAAAAATTTGTTATTCTACTGATTCTAATTGTCCTGGGAGAGTCAGGCATCCTAACAAGTTCTGATAATCTGTTTTCTATCAATGCGCCAAATTCCAATCCACAGCATGCCTCAGGACCTGTATGTCCCTGCATAGCTTAATTGGGCACATACCAGGAAAATAAAAGCAGTCCCTACCCAATATAACTTATGTTAACTGCAACATCAGTCTTCCTAGATGAGTAATGTAGTCTCATACTTTACATTGATTGATATGAACAAATGCCTTGGAGGCATTCTATTTTTTTTTTTAAGGATTTTTATACATCTTACTTCACTGAGTTGGTGAAGTAGTGCTTAGGGCAACCATTAAGCAAGTAGATAGGGAGATAAAAATAACAAGAACAGCTCAGGGGCTCTAGAATCAGGGGCCTTAGTGCATCTGTCATGCTGCACTGCTATATCCAGCTAAAGAAGCTAGAAACATTTTCCAAGGACAACAGCTCTACCACTGTCCACCAGAACAATTTGCTATATGTAATCCCCTGTTCTTATCCTTAACATTAGACCTTCATCACCGATATAGCAGCCAATAGCCACATACAGTTCTTTTATTGTTGACGTTTTTTGGCTTTTGTCTCAGCCTCTTGAATATTTGGGGTATATGCATGTGCTACTACACCTAGCTCAATACATGTACTTTTAAATAAAACTAAAAAAATTAAAACAATCATCCCCTTAGACTAGCCACATTTCAAATATCTGATAGCACATATTGCTAGTGGCTACTATACTGAACAAAGAAAGTATGTAATATTTCCACCATCAAAAATGTTCACAGGTAGGGCTGGTGATGCACACCTATAATCCCAGCATTCAAGAGGCTGAGGAAGACTGAAAGAAGTTTGAGGCTAGTTTGAGCTATGTAGCAAGACCCTGTTTCAAAAAAACCAAACCAAAATCCCACCAGACAGCACAGCCTCAGACTACCTGCAGCCAGACCTAGAATTGTTAAAGAAAGCCGACATAGTGATGGGAAGGTTTATCACCTGCTAACTGCTTCCAGGAGCCACAAGACTCCCATCTAAAGACCTTATACAAATTATTAGGAAATAACCAGAGAATAAGGTGAACATAAAAATTGCATAAATATTAAGTTCCTTCATAATCCAGATAAAACCAGATCTTTAAATTCTAAGTAGGAAAAAAACATACTTCTTTTGGAAAAACATTCCGATTTTAACTTTTCAGCTTGTTCTTCAGTTGCCAACTCCCAGGAGGTACATCGAGATGACCCTGTGTCCCACAGACACCGGATACCAGGTCCTGCAGCTATACAAGCTGCCTCACTTCGGTGGGCATCACACTGCTCCGAGGTAAAGACTAAGACGTCGCTGAGGAGAAGGCTGTTGAAGCCGCCAAACACATACATGGTACTGAGAGGAGAGAGAGAAGGAATTCACTGAAAATGCACAAACACATGCATGACATAGGGCTTGTTTTGGTTGCTGGCTTTGAAATTTTTGAGACAGATTTCACTGTGTAGCCCTTGCTAGTCTACAAGTTTTGTAGACTAAACTGGTCTCCACCTTGGGGCCATCTTCCCATGTCTGCCTCCCAAATGCTCTGATTTTTTTATGCTTAAATTTTTTAACTGTCAATCTTTAGAAAATTTGTATTAAAAGTCCTCTGCAAGGGTTAGTGACTAGGTTCAGCAGGTGAAGCACCTGCGGCACAACTGGACAATCTGAGTTCATTCCCTGGAATCATATAAAGGAGGAAGGAGAGAAGTAACTTCACAAAGCTGTCCTCTGACAGCCAACATGTGCTCCAACACTCATGTGCCCCAACCCACATAACAAAAAAGTAAATATATAATTGATTGATTTAAGTGCTCTGAGAAATTTTCAAGGTCTCAAAAACCATTACTGTCATCTATTCTCTCAAATTCCATCTTGCTTTGTGATCACTCAGAATAGTTTAAATAATCTGTCAATGTGTGCATGGAAAATTAGTACACAGGGAAAGTGGAATTTGGGGGGGGTTGTTTTCTGTCTTTGTTTTTTTTGTTGTTGTTGTTTTGTTTTGTTTTTTCAAGACAGGGTTTCTCTTCTCTGTAATGCTTTGGAGCCCGCCCTGAAACTAGCTCATAGACCAGGCTGGCCTCAAACTCACAGAGATCCACCTGCCTCTGCCTCCCCAGTGCTGGGATTAAGGGCGTGTGCCACCAATGCCCAGCTTGGAAAGTAGCATTTTTAAAAGATGTATTTTTAATTTTGGGGTGTGTGTGTCTGCATGTGGGTATGTGCACATATGTACAGGTGTCCACTGACACTAGAAGAAGGTGTTATAGTCCCTGGAGCTAGAATGACATCTTCTATTAGTAGGGAAAAGATAAGACTCCTGGGGCTGGAGAGATGACTCAGCAGTAAAATGAGCTTGCTGCTCTTCCAAAGGACAGAGTTTGGTTCCCAGCACACACAACAGGCAGCTCACAAACATACAATTCCAGCTTCAGGAGACCTACCTCCCTCTTCTTTCCGATATGGGGACCCACAGGCACATATGAATACACACAAAAATAAATAAAGAGAAAACAGAGAAAATTTTAATGCAAAGAAGACTACATATAGAGAATAAGAGAAAATTATAGACAGAAAAAGTGTTCCTGGAAGACTTTAGCCAAATGTGATAGCAAGAATTCTAACCTAAGTAGTAACTACTTAAGATCTTTCCCCATTCCTCCATATAAATTCAGCATTTTCTGGGAATCTTACCAGAATTCCTATTTACGAAAAAAAAAAAAAATCACATTCTACACCTCTAATAGTGCCCAATTTTATCTGGTCAATTTGTAATGCCATTTAATGCATTTCCAGTGCCACCCTATAATCTCAATTATCAAAGAGAACAAGACAGAAGGGTCCCATAGAAACATAGTGTACAACAAAATTCCAAAAACCTCATAGTGACTACCATGAGGACACCTGAAGTGTGACTCTTCTTCTAGAAGCCGTACTCATGCTTTATCTTGTCCTGAGCACTTTCTTTTTAAATCTTACAATATATAGTCCTGAAATCCCTTTCTGTATTGAAGTCATGAATCCTGGGTTTGCCTGAATCAAAGTCCATAAAAGACTAAAGGATCTCTTCACTGTGCTGTGGGTGATATACTTCAATTAGTATGCCAGGAAAATTAATGCAGATATCATTACACTATGAAAAAATTTGACTTTATTCATAGAGAAATGCAAATTAGAACCACATTGTTGGGCCATTTGTTACCTATCAAAGAAAAAAGTCAAATTTGTTACCTATCAAACTGGCAAAAGAGGAACAAACATTACATAATATTTGAATTGGTGAGATTTCATGGCAACAGGCAAGCTGATACACTATTTTGGGCATGTAAGACTGTAGACGTCCACACAAGGGATTTTGGCAACTCAAAACTACATATTTACCCTGTTGAACCTTAAGTCACTTTTCTAGAAAGCACACAGAGATAGTGGCACAGAGTGACCGTCAGTATATCATTAGGTGTATGTATGCTGGAAGAGCCGCAATGCAGAAAGAAATATATAGAGAGAATATGTAGTCATTTACCTTTTGGGAGAAAAAAAACGCGTCTGACACACATATAATCTATTCCCCTCTACAAAAACAATATTCACAGCATTTCTTTACCTTGCTTTTGCTTGCTGGCCTAAAACTTAGGACTTTCAACCTTGAAGAATTCCTCTTATCTCAAACACCTGAGTGTGCGTATTAAAGGCATGAGCTACCCTGCCTACCCAACCTGTATTCTTAAAAGACCAATCCAATGACAATGGAAAAAACTAAGACTTAGATTGTGGTGTTTAAAACTCACTTTTGGAAAAGCAGGATATATATGAATTAGATGATCTTCCATAAGCTGAACAAACAAAACAAAACAATCCCCCATCATTTCCCCACTCCCTTTCATTTAGACTTTTCTAGAGAAAAATCTATTTTCATGTCTAAGTCAAGAAATGTTGACAATGCTTTTGTAGTATGTACACCTGAGACACACCAGGACTGCTATCTCGAAAAGATGCTTACTAGCTAGAGTTAAGAACTACACTAGATTGAAATACATCAAATACTTCTAAATAAGTTCATAATGAAATCCAAGTTCTGTTACCTGTGGACTACAATAAGCAAGGAACTATTCCATCTCCAATATCCTGTATCTCCAAGCAAGTTTAATTCCAATCCACAATGAGGAACTGGTAACTCACCTGCACTGGTCTTCAATCAACAAAGGACTAAACAAAGCATAGTGATTGTGTGGCTCTGTGTGCATTACAATATCTGAAAACCAGACATTTCAATAACCAAAAAGAAAAACTCAAGGATTCATTTTTGACTTTGCTACTGGCTCTTGAGTCTAACATGAGTTAAACTGGATTTACTTAGTAAATTTGTGGCTTGAACTGAGCACAGCTAGCTAGTGTCCTTCTCCGCTCTGAACATCCCAGATCACACAATGGTGGGAGAGCCTTCCAACAGGCTTAGAGAAAGCAACTAAGATAAATGCTGCCTCTCCATCTAGCAACCTCAGTCTCATAGCCTTCTCTGCTTCGACCTCTTAAACCATAATTAGAAAAATTAAGCCAGACACACTGGTCAAGTGCTGCTAACTGACACAACAAAAGAGATCAAAGTTTTCCCTTCAGCAAATCATTTCATACAACTATACTGTAACCATGGCTTTCTACCATTCCCTATTTCCTCCAACCTTGCCTGAAATTCAAATACACCACAAGAATTACACAAAAATAAAAACAATGTAATTCAGGCAGCTATTCCTGATTTTGATTCATGGCTAAACTAGACTTTATGACAAACGGTCAACTTCTCTGAGTTTGTGTAAAATTAAGACTGTTTCAACAGAAGATTCATTCATTTGATATATTAGATATATATTAGTATACTTGCCACCTAGCAAATGCCCACAATATGCCTAACCCTGTGCTAGGAGAGCACCAAGAACACACAGATGAAGAGAGGGGCACAGCCAGCTACCAGCAAGGCCAGGTGGCCTGATGCTTGCCAGGTGAAAATCTCAAGAGGTACTCAGGACATTTTCTGAGGGAAACAATCACATTGCAATTCAACATAACACTCAAGTTAACGAGATAATAATTAAAAAGCCCTCCCACTTTAGTATAGACATAGAATGGTCTCGCCACAAAATCCTATATACTTCTAAAAACGTTAAGTAATCATGTGATTAAAGATACCACCTTTCCCCAATATCTAGCTTCTAAATGGTCAATTCTTCCCATTTCCAGAATGTCATTTTTGTATTTTTCCTAACACAACTAATTTAACTGAAAATTTGAAAACCTAAGGAAATATATAAGCATTACAGTATTTAAATAATTTTAGGGTTTATACATCTTTGAAATTTTTGCTTTTTTTTTTTTTTTTTTTTTTTTTTTTTTTTTGTTTTGCACTGCAAGACAGGGTTTCTCTGTGTAACAGCCCTGGCTATCCTGGAACTCACTTTGTAGACCAGGACACCTCAAACTCACAGAGATCTGCCTGCTTTGGCCTCCCAGGGAGCTGGAATTAAAGGTGTGCATCACCACTCAGCAGGATATATAAAATTTGAATTTTAAAGAGGGAAGCAGAAAGCAGTAATAATAGCAGCAAAGTAAGAAATGTTAACATCAGTAGGCTGCTGAGCTTCTCTATCTTTAGAGCACACTTTAAAATGACCAGGTAAATGACCATTCTGCATGTCCTTTATGGCAAATGCTGCATCTGAAGAAGGCACAGTGCTGGGATGGGAACTCAGGATCTTGCACATACCAGGTAAACACCCATCTGCAGGGCCACAGCCCCAGTCTTCTGAATGTCCTTTCCTGGACTAAGCTTCCCTGGGGCAGATGCACAAAGAGCTCTGCTGGTCAGAAAGGTATTCCTGAGCACACTGAGATGTAGTGCAGACTTAAAACTTGCTCTTTGTCTCCACAATCTCCCCAGCCTGTTCCCTTACCTTATCCTGCACTTAAATTGCCCTCTCTCCCTTTTTTCTCCCTAAACCTCTTACCATTCAGATAAAACTATTAGAAAGTTGATATAAAAAAAAGAATATAAGATATAAGACAGTATCACAACTTTAGCTTTCCAGTTACCTGTTGTGCAAGACTGCTGAATGGCCAAATCTGTTGACATCATGGTGGAGATCAGGTCTGGGAAGCACTGACCATCGGTCACAAGCTATGGGCAAGAAAAACAAATTTCAGAGTAGACTGTCATTTACAGTCAACCGGAACTGACCATCTTTAAAGAGAAGAGTGAAGGCCAGGTGTGGTGGTGGCATAACCTTTGATTCCAGCACTCAGGAGGCAGAAGCAGGAGGATCTATGTGAGTTCAAGGCCATCCTGGTCTACACAATAAGCTCCAGGACAGTTAAAACTAACATAGAGAAACCCTGTCTCAAAACAAGCAAACAATACAATGAACACAGTCTTATAAAATATGCTTTTCTTCCTTTTTAGTTATGATATTATGTGTAAAGGGCGGCAACAGCAGCAGCAGCATTTCAGGGCGTGAAATAAAAGCACTGCACAGAGATGCTAATCAATGAATGCACTTAACACCCACAGCAACCCCTGTGATTGTCACTACTCTATTGTCTGCTATTTTAACCCACCAGAATGTCTGCTTTAGTCTTGAATTTTCTTCTTCCATGTGGTGCTAGGGATCAGACCCAGAGCCTTGAATATGGCAGTTAAGGACTCTACTGCTGAGATGCATCTCTAGCCCACCAAGATATTTTCTAACTTAAAAATGTTAATGCATCTGGGCGGTGGTGGTGCACACCTTTAGTCCCAGCACTTGGGTAGCAGAAGCAAGCAGATCTCTATGAGTTTGAGGCCAGCCTGGTACATAGACTGGTTTCCAGGACAGTTGGGGCTATAGAGAAACCTGTCTTGAAAAACCAAAAATAACTAAATAAATAAGTTTTAATATTAGGCATGGGGCACACACCTGTAATGCTAGCACTTGGGGAGGTGGAGACAGGAGAATCAGGAGTTCAAGGTGAGCCTCAATTACAACCACACAGCAAATCTGAGCCTTCCAATAAAACAAGATCCCATCTCAAAAAAAAAAAAAAAAAAAAAAAAAAAAAAAAAAGGGTTCCACAATTCTTTTACTTTTGTTTTTGAAGATGGTTTCTCTGTGTAGCCTACCTGTCCTGAATTTGCTCTGTTGACCAGGCTTGCCTCCAGCTCAGAGATCCACTTGCCTCTGCCTCCCAAGTGCTGGAATTAAAGGCATTCTTTTTGCCTCTATACTGAATTGTTTAATCTTAATGACAATGGGAAAATACAGGTGAAAATAAAAAATTTTCTATTAAACTTTAATGCCTAAGTCTTTCCCTCGTTCTCCCAGATCTCCTGATTTTTCCTTTGTGTGACTCACGCTCCAGCTTCTCTGCTGCCACTGCAATTGCAGAGTCACACTGATGCTCACTGTCTGTCTCACTGTGAAACAATGAAGTTCTGCAGTCCAGCCACACCTTCTTCACTCAGCTCCAACAGTAGCAGCTCTCACTTCCTGCTAAACTCAACCCTATCTTCCTCACAGGAAGGACTGACCCTACTTAGCCAACCTTGCCCCTTTCTCTGAAATCACAATGTAGCAAGATCCCTGGACCTGTGATCTGTTCCCCAGAGATCCTTCCTCTGACTCATCAGTTTATGCCTCTGTCCTCACGCCTACAACCAGCCTGCAGCTTTCCCTGCAGCACGCCTAAGATTACTCTTCCCTTCTCCCCAGCATCGACTCATGTCTATGCTTCCTTCAGCTTGAAGAACTAACTATAATGTATTTATCATTCTCAGTTCAAAAGCTCAGTGGTGGGTTAGAGAGATGGCTCAGAGATTAAGAGCACTGGCTGCTCTGCCTGAGGACCTGAGTTAAGTTCTCAGCAACCACATGGCAGCTCACAACCATCTATAATGAGATCTGATATCTTCTTCTAGCATATAGGTATGCATGCAGACAGGACACTGTATGCATAATAAAGTCTTTAAAAAAAAAAAAACCCAGTGGCTACCACAACCATATCTGTTAAAAACAAACAAACAAACACGTAGGGCTTGTAAAATGGCTCAGAACTTAAAGACACTCACTGCTCCACTGCTCCTCCAGAGATTGGGGTGTGGATCCAGCACCCACATCTCAGCTCACAACTGTCTGTAATTCCAGTTCCAAGGGATCCAATGCCTACTTCTGGCTTCCAAGGACACTGAACATATGTGTATTATTTAACATATATGTAGGTAACACCCATACACATAAAACAAAAATAAACAAGATCTTTTTTTCAAATGAACACCAGACCTAGACCAGTCAAAACCATAGACAATCAGAAGACTATGATTTCAAGAGCCTGGACTGAGGATGAAGAGAGGAACTATTATTTAAGGGCAGATGGATGATGATACAGCATGAATAACATTATGAATATATCTGCTTCACTTAAATTACTTAAAACATTAAGGTGGCATTATTATTTGCATTTTGCCACAATATGAGTAATTTGTAAAATGAACAACTAGCTGGTGTGGTGGCACACTTTTAATCCCAGCACTCAGGAGTCAGAGGCAGGAGGACCTTTCTGAGGCAGGAGGACCTCTCTGAGTTCAAGGTCACCTTGATCTACATAATGAGCTCCAAACCAGTCAGAGCTACATAGTGAGACCCTGTCTCAAAAAGCAAAAACAAAAACAGACAAAGAATATCTGATGGTATTTATACAAAAGAACATAGATGTTTACTTTCCAGGAGTAAATCAACACTGCCCTCTTCTGGTCACACACACATTCACATCAAAAGCATGTGTGAAGGTTTTTAGAAAATGGCAGGCATACAGTTAATGCATACCTCATCAGACTCAACATGATGCTTGTGGTTACAACTACACACCACTACAATGTAAAGCAGTTATAAAAAAGGATATACCAGTTAAATCAGCCTTAAAAGAAAAGAATTCAAGCAATTAACAAGAATGACTTCAAAAAGAATTTAATGTAGTTTAATGTAAAGTAATGTTTTTCAATAAATATATACCCTTATTTAAATAAATACAAATTCTATCACTTGGACTTCTTTATTTTTTTATTTTATTGGTTTATTTTTTTAATTTAGATTTTCAAGACATGGTTTCTCTGTGTGACTCTAGCTGTCCTGGAATTTGCTGTTGAGCAGACTAGCCTCCAACTTAGAGATCTACCTGCCTCTGCCACTGCCTCCCAAATGCTGGGATTAAAGGTGTGCAACATCATCACCTGACTGGGTTTCTTTCAAATGGTACAATTATTTTAACATCAATCCTCAAGGTTGCTCACAGGCAAAGAAAATACTTCTGAAGTTAAAACATCTTTGAAAACTTACCAATGTCATAAGCCATAAAATCCGAGGAGAAGCATTTGGCGCCATGGCTCATGGATGTGTCGTTGTGTGTGTTCCCTCCAAACACCAGCATGGTTCCACTCACTATCACAGCTGTATGCAAGTAACGGAAAAATCGGCTGTCCTTAAGAATGGTCCTTTTGAGTTTATTTAAAAATAATAAATACAAGGTTAGTTTTAGAAGAATGCTTATCTATCTGGCAATTTACATGTAATTACTTTATAACTTTGGCATCAAGTGTTCAATACTTGATTCTCACCTATATATAGGCCACTTAATTTTAAAAAAATTCCTAAAAATCTGTTAAAAATTTGGGGAAACTATAATAAGAGCCCTAAAATAGTCATACCATATGGCTCTATAATTCCAGTTACTAGTAAGAATTATGTAAAAATACAGATCAAAATTTATGCTCAATGTTTTATTAGTAAAGCCAAAGCTAGAGACAGAACTTCCAACTGTTAGGCTCAGTGGTGCACAGCACTAAAGATAGTGATCCTCATGACAATGAAAAATTACATCCACAGCATGGCTTCTGATGTACATTGACAGAGAAACAGGAAGAGAGAGAGAGAGAGAGACAGAGACAGAGACAGAGAGACAGAGATGGAGACCAGTGCTTTATAATTATTTCATAACTCAAATTTATTTACATTTGCTAAAAGTACAGGCTGAGCTATAGTTCAGAGTGAGGAAAATGATCAGCTAGGATGAGAGCATCCTGTTTGATGATTTAAAGGATAAAACCAGCAAATGATCCCAACAATGAACCTTGCTCATCAAGACAAAAGTTACACTGATGGTATAGCCTATTCATATGCAAAGTCTTGGGTTTGCTTCCCAACACCAAAAAGGAAAAAAGAAAGGATTTTTTTTAAGTATTTATAAAATCAGCCAATTTTATTCCTGAGAATTCTGAAGATATGGAATCTATAGTAGACTTCAGTGAATGAGAACTGAAATAGGTCCATAACACTAAGCACTTTCTAAATATCCTAAAACAACAGAAAAGCTAACAGCAATAAAACAAATACTATCTAAACTTTTTACCATATCTATTTCCTAATTTTGTTACATACAATGCTAAACATAAAACAAACCACAACACAGTACTTTTCAACCAACTGCCTGTACAGAATCTACACCGTCAAGAGAAAGCTCTAGGAAAAGCACCCACCACATCTGGGTATCCACATCATATCTGTAGAGGTCATCTGCAAGTCGGTATTTATTGGCACTGAAAGCCTTGTAGCCACCATGAATGTATAGTGCCTTGGTCCTGTGATCATAAACACTGCTGTGGCCATAGCCCCCTTGCACAAGAGCACCCTGAGTGTGTAGTATACTCCATGTGTTCTTTTCTGCAAAAGACAGTTAAAGTCAATACTGCAAGCTCCTTATTATTAAACATTAAATTATTTAAATTACTTAAACATTAAAGTCTATGCAGCTTATAACAGAAGAAGAAAGCTCAGGGTATATTTTCATCTTATTTATAAAGAAGGCCACCTAGACAGACCTGGGCAGTGCAGGCCTATAGTCCCGGGTACCAGGTAAATGAGGTAGGAGGATGACAAATTCGAGGCCTACCTGGACAACATCTCAAAAAAAAAAAAAAAAAAAAAAAAAAAGTTCTGGGGGCATACCTTAATGGTAGTGTTCGTCAGGTATGCACAAAAACCTTGGATTCAATCCCCAATAGTGTTGGGGGGGGGGAGACAAAACCTAACAACAAAGCCATGTGGCCAACACCAAAGTGCTAAATAGTGTAATGCTCTAACATACTATATAGGAAAGGAATTTTATAACACTTAAAGACTCAAGAGTCTAGGGATGGGGAAATATGGGAGAAGGAAGAAATGTGCTGGAAAAAACTATACGGAAACCTATGATCTTGCAACCCAAGTGAAAAATACAACTAGAGGGCAGAGTAAACTAAGGATGCATGGATAAGCCTTATGGAAGCCTGCAAGTTTGTATGCTAACTCAAAATCTCAGTGCCAGTTACAGGTTACCTCCCTACAGGTCACTAGTCTGGGAGGTATCTAAAACAATAAAGACTATTGCCATGCTCTTGGTTGCCCTCTATAAGTAGAGGGTAGAATCTTGTTGCTGAAGACACTGCATATTTGGTTGCAGGGTTAGGAGAAATCAATCTTGAACAGATCAATTAATGCCATCCCTGTTGGCTAGTTGTCATAGCACTGAAAGGCATTATGTAGGTTGCTGAGGGAAAGAAGCTATCAATGGTCTTACCCCATATTGGACCCTGAATTCTACAATACTAACTTGAAAAGCAAAGATGTATCCCCTGGTGCTGTAGTGACAAGATCATCAACAGTAGAGAAGGAAGGACTGTTCAGTAAGCACAGTCAAAACTCATGGCTCAGGAAGCCATAGACTCAAGAAGAACCTATTGATACTGTCTTTCTGAAGTTATGTTGCCACTTTGAGCTGTGGTCAAAGAAGCTTCTTGTTGCACTGGGTAGTGATTAATCCCAGGTTCTGAGTGCTGAGACTATGTGATGGAGTGCTCAGCCTTGTACAGGAGGGTGTGTACCAAGCTCTGCCCCAAGACTTAGGGAATATCTTAGAAAGAATGCAAGAGCCTGAGGATGAGGAAAACATCTGTGAAATGCCATCCTCTCAACATGAGAAGGCTGCTGCACACAGGAACTATACAAAATCAAGCAAGTTAAAAATTCCAGCAGAGCCGGGCGGTGGTGGTGTATGCCTTTAATCCCAGCACTCAGGAGGCAGATCTTTGTGAGTTCGAGACCAGCCTGGTCTACAAAAGCTAGTTCCAGGATAATCTCCAAAGCCACAGAGAAACCCTATTTAAAAAAAAAAAAAAAATTCAAGTATTCAAGTATGATCAAGATATATTGTATACATCTATGAAATTTTCAAAGAACAAATTTTTAAAACAAGTTTTAAAGGTTAAAGATTCAGATTTCTCTCAGACATTTCATTCCCTATGACCTTCAGTGATTCCTTATGATTTTCAGATGTACATTATTAAACAACTTTATCAAAATTTCAATTCTGAAACTCCTTTTACACAATTTTGAAAAACAATAAAATTTAACACAATTATTTCCTAAAGTAAAATAACACTGCATTAAACTAACCTCTAAAGGACTATACAAAATTGCTTTAGAGTTTTATTTATTTATTTTTTTTGCATTATGTTTATTTTGATACCCAAAGCATTTAGTGCCATCTTTGGCTCCTTACAAACTGACAGTAACAAATATTTGTTACACAGGGGCATCAACAACCTGAATCTTACCAGTTATATACTGATATTAACTACTTCAAGACAAAGTACCGGGTGAAGGTTAGGTTGAATTTGTTAAACTGTCCAAATAGTAAGAGTAGGGGTTCTCAATCTGATATTCAAGATCCATCCACTGGAAAACGTATACATACCTAAGTCATACTCTTGCACAATGCTTATATATCCATAGAGTGGGCAATGACCAAAAATAACCAACATGACCACACGGCCAGTTGCCAGTGTGACAATGTGTGCTGAGTGTCCAACTACTGCATACTGCTCCTTTGCTTTGGGTGTTAGCAATGCCCATGATTCATTATGAATATGAAATACTCTCAATTCATTGGTCACATTCCCTGTTGAATCAATTTTTCCTCCATACATGTAGATTTTATCCTAAAAGAAAGATGTAAACAGGATTTTTTTAAAACCACTAAAAAATTAAATCGAAGGCTGGAAAGATGGCATAGCAGTTAAAACAGTTGCTGCTCTTGGGGAGGACCAGAGTTTGGTTCCTAGAACCCACATAGCAGCTGACAACCAAACTCTTCTGACCTCTGGTAAAACAGCATGCACAGGCACACAAGCAGGCAAAACACCCATACACATCAAATAAAAATAATCTTTTAATACCTAAGAACAGAAAAAGATTAATTTACAACCTCATTCTTATTCTTAGCTTAAGAAGTATGAGTAAAATGTACTTTTCAGTGAATTACTAAGAAAAGGATAGAGAAAGAGCAATATAAAATAAATCACATTCTTTTCTCTCTAAAACACCTTCACATGAGATAAGAATAAAACAACTTGGAAATAAAGTTGCCTCATCTTACAACATATGCACAAAAACAAGGAAATGAAAATGATTATTCGGTCACACTGCAATGTGGCTAAACTTGCTAATAGGCATGGAACTCATTGACACTTTTTAATCTTCATTCTTAACCATTTGGCACTGTAATCATAGTATCCCAGTACAATAGCATGGATTAAAATAGTTCCAACTTCAATTTCCAATTACAACTTGGCCAATTATATACTGTCATCATGCCAAACAAAGTTTATACCAATTAAAACCAAAGCTGAAGAGCTATTCGATGACACAAAGCAACAGGAAGAGTTGAACTTCGTGCTTGGTAAAGTTGAGATAGTTTACCTTATGTAATGCCAAAGAATGACCATATCTTACAACCACACTGTTCACAGATTGGTTTAGTGGAAGCCATTCCCTTGAAACCAGGTCATACCTACAAAACAAACAGATCATATTTTCAAACAAATGACAAAAGAGAACATCTTGTATTATTTTATTTATGATATAATCCAGTTCAGAGATTTTTTTTTTTCAATGAGTCAACCAGAGCTATAGTGAGGCACATGCTATTCTGGCAAGCATACCTGATACCTGGGCCAATTGAGTATGTGAGAACTCAAAATGGGGAGGCCAACTACACAATCCTGGGATATGTCCATCCACTGGGAGTTTCTATAGCTTCCTGCAAACCTCTTCTACATAACAATCCAAGCCATATGAAGTTTGTTATAAAGGGACTTAATAGCTCACAGCAACTTTCACTCATTTAATAATGACAAACTGAAGGAAAGTACAGAAAGGAAAATAATAAGAAGAAAATAACTTGGTAATATGGTAATATTACCAAGGTAATATGGCTTTGGTGAGTAAAAGTGCTTGCTGCACAAGCCTGACCACCTGAATTCTATCCCTGGGACCCACATGGTGGAAGAAGAGAACCAACATGTGTGTACATAAGCATGCACATACATGGGGGGGGTGGAGGGAGTGGAAGGGAGAATTTGGGGTAGATATTATCAAAATTATAAATATGTTGTGTGTGTATGTTTCAAAGAATAAATATTTTAAAAGAAAATTATTAGTATCTCTTCTAACCATTTGTTCAAGAAAGCTAAATTACTATTATAACATTTTAATCACACAATAAAGAATTCTAAAATATAAAATCAGTAAAATAAAAATACTTTTAGGACTGGAGTGATTGCTCAGTGGGTAAATACCTACTGAGCAAGCATGAGAATCTAACTTCAGATCCTTAGCACCCATGTAAAAGCAGGGTATGGAGTCACCTTTCTGCAACTCCAACCACAGTAGTGGAAGGGTACAAACAGGTCCCATGGGGCTGGCCAGCCAGTCTATCCAAAATGATGAGTTTCAAGTTAAATGACAGACCCTGTCTCAAACTGGAAAAGTGCCGAACAATAGAGGGGGACCCCTGATGTTGGCCTCCAGCCTCCATCCATATGCACATGTACTAGTTCACAGACTTAATAACTTGGGTGCAACACCCCCACAGAAAATGAGCTACAGTCCTGCCATGCAGCTCATGCTTATTCATATATTACTGAATAATCACAATCAATTAAAATAGTCATTTTTTAGAAAAGAAAACCCACTGTGACGGTTTAAAAATGGTTCCCATAGGCTCACACATTTGAATACTTCATCTCCAGTCGGTGGAACTGTTTGGGAAAGATTACGAGGTGTGGCCTTGTTGGAGGAGGTGTCACTGGGAGTGGGCTTTGAGGTTTCAAGACTTTTCCAGTGTGCTTGCTCTACTCCCTTCTTTTGGATCAAGATGTGAGCTCTCAGCTGTTCCTGCACCATGCCTTTATTCTGTACCACAGACTCTAATCCTCTAAATGCTCAATTAAATGCTCTCTTTAACCACAACCTTGGTTATGATGTTTTACCATAGTGATAGAAGAATAAATAAGACACTTACCCTATTGCTATTATAAAATGCATAAATGCTCATGAAAAATACAACCAATACAATAAAATAAACTGAATTCAAGGATGTCCTAACACTCCATCAACCAGAAATAAATACTAAAAGTAAGGAAACATTATTACAAACATCTTACTATACATTTATAGACAGAAGACTGACAAAATACAGCTATACAAAGGGGAAAAAATATTTTTTTAAACCATTAGTTTTAATTTTTATAAAATTGAAAAGAAATCTAAGCACAAAGAGAACCAATGCCACTGTTTCTTTGTTACCTTAAGTAAATTTTTCTTTTCTCTAAGTTTACCCGGATAATCTAAGTTTATTTAAAATTAAAAAAAAAAAAAAGTGGGACTGGAGAGATGGCTCGGTGCTAAGAGCACTTGCTCCAGAGGAGCGAGGTTCAGTTCTCAGCACCCACACTGGGCAGCTCATCTCCAGAGGTTCTGATGCCTTCTTCTGGCTCCAACGGCAACTGCATTCAGGTTTCATACACAGAGACTAAACACATACATAAAAATAAAAGAATGTAAGACTAGACTTACTGTTGGGAACTATGACTATGCCTGTAATTCCAGTGACAGAAGGCTGAAGCAGGAGGACTGTGGTGACTTCTGGCCTAATGTAGGCTACAAACTGAATCCCAAGCCAGCTTGAGCAACAGTGTGAAACCCTGCTTCAAAAACTAAACAGGTCTGGGAGGTAATACTGTGGCAGAATATTAGTTGCCTGGCACCTACAAGGTCCTGGATTCAAAAACTAGCACTACCACCAAAAAGAAAAAGAAAAAAAGCAAGGGCTGGCATGGTGATAAACGCCTTCAATACTAATACTCAGGAGGGAGAAGCAGATGGATCTCTGAGAATCTACATAATTCCAGGCCAGTCAGGGCTACAATAAGATCATATCTCTGTGGAGAGGAGGGAGGACCAACCAAACCACAACAATAAAACCCAAAACAAGTGCTGGTAAAATGGCTTGGTTGTGTAAAGGCACTTACTTCCAAACATGAAAACCTGAGTTGGATCCCTATAACCCAATAGTGGAAAGAGAAACCCAACTCCCAAAAGCTGTCCTCTGCACACAAAGGCAACAAAAATAGGAAAGAGGTTTATCAAAACATACTAGTAAAAAGGAAACAAATGTCTATCAAAATTGATCGAGTCATAGCTGTCTAATATAACATCAAAAAACACACATCTCAAAATAAATTTATAAAATAATGTTAAGCTAAAGAAGCAATCTGCATCATTAATATCAGTACTCAGGAAGCAGAAAGGGAGTGATGCACTGAATATAATTTTTATAAAGACTAAAAATAATGTCTACTGATGAAGCTTGGTGTTAGAAAGCATCACAAGATAGGCAAACAGATACACAAAACTATGAATTACTAGCTCTACCACACTTTTACATCTATTTAAAGTAAGTAACACTAATAATAGAACCCTGATTGTCTCTGTGACTCTGCAGCAATACAGGGCCTTACTCTGAACTAGTGAACTGTTATTTCCTGATCTGGGTAGAGAAGAATATGCTGGCATTTGTTAGCATTTTTTTCTATGAACTTTTCCTTCTATCTTAGTATACAGTAACAAATATAACAAAATAGAGACATCTATTAAGTGTGACAAACATAAAGTGGCATTTAACTTTAACTTGCATACTTTAGGATATTTATTTTTAAAATGTATGAAAATTATTTCAGTTTGTTTTAGTAATTACCCAATGGTAATTACTACTTGCTGCTTTTATTAAACCAGCAAAATCACTCATTGATATTTAATTTTAGAATCTATTAGCTCTCTGCTTTGAGGTTGAATACCCTAGTATTCACATTTCCAATCCCATTTCTTCTCCTCATTGTGCTCCACAGCTTACAGTGTCCATGTTCATAACATTCACAGCCCATTTTGTAACTTTAATCCCACAGTGATTCAGTGTGGAGTCTGTGTGCAAGCTGAAGCAGCATCATCACAGTCCTCTACTATGACTTCTTCAGCTCTTCAATTCTTTATTGGTTGTTTCACCATCAAGTGGTGTTTTGGTTGTGAGACAGTCTCACTATGTACAGCCTAGGCCCTGAACTTATGGTCCTCTCACCCAAACATTCTAAGTGCCAAGATTACAGGCATATGACAGATACCATGCCTCGCTCAAATAATGTTTAAGCACAGAGCTCTCATGCATTCCTTTCCTGATGTTCTCTGATGATTAAGAGCACTTGCTCGATACCATTTCGGGTGAACAGTGCCTGGACTGGGTAAAATACTCAGGACCTTTCATATGCTGCTGCCTTGAAAGTTACAGCTGGCACTGAATGTTGCCATGAAAAGATCTGAGGCTTACATAAAGTTTCCCTTCTTTCAGTAGTTAGCTATTCTGTGTAGACCCTGAAGAATTATCAGTCATTCTCATTCTCTCTCTCTCTTCCACCTTCCTCCTCCCCCTCTCTGTCTCTCTCACTATTTTTTTTCAGACACAAAATGTTATAAAAGCAGAAACAACTTTACTCCATTCAGATTTTGTTTGTTTGGTTGTTTGTTTTTTAAACAAAAAAAAAAAACTGAAGAACATAGTTATGCAAAAAAAAAAAAAAAAAAAAAAAAAAAAAAAAACCAAAAAAAAACCACTCTTGCCAGGTGCACTGCTTCCTAATGAGCATCAGGAGACTCACACCTTGTTGTATGCTGGAGTCACTGCAAGGATGACCCCAAGTAGAATTTGCCACTTTCAATGAGAAATCTGTTGGTGATTGGTTAGGGTGAGCCTGCTCTACTGATCTGGATTTGCTGCACCTTTCTTTAAGACAAACACTGTGAGTTCTGCGCCTGCCTGGTGCACATAGGGATTTCCAGGTCAGCCAGGGCTACATAATTAGACCTCATCTAAGAAAGACAAAGAGGTAACCAGACCTTAAGCCCCATGGCATATCCTGTGCTCCTTCCTCTCCCATCTCAACAACAGCAAGACAGCTGGACACAGCCTCCAACTCTGGTGGAATGCTACTGCTCTGGTACAGTGCCTTCCAGCTGACCAGCAGATGAGAGACCTGCCTGCAGCCTGAACCACCACTGCTGCCACCCACTAGAGTCTCTTCTCCCAAGACCCATTCTGCCACCCAGCTCCACCCACCTCATCATCCTCTCTGTGGCCAGCCCTTCCCCAAAACTCCAGTAGACTCAACAGGCACAGATATAGCCCACACCAGTCAGAAGAACAGGAAGATACACTAGATCTAGGCACCAAAACTACCACAAACCTCAGCTTCGACACCCAACTGAACCTGAAGAGCTGCCAGTCACCAGAACCCTTAGCTATCTAAGCCAGAAGACAAAGAAAAAAAAAAATCCACCCAACAAAGACAAGCACAAGAATCAACACCCAGACCTATAATCAATCATTCCAAATCCAGATAAGTAAACGCCAGTGTAAGAATACATTCAATAACAGAAAGGGCAATATGAACCACCAGAACC